TAGAGAGAGAGAGAGAGAGAGAGAGAGAGAGAGAGAGAGAGAGACTGAAGCACCCAGCCTCAATTCATACACTACTTTTATACAGAATCCCTCTCACAGTTTGACGAACCTGTAGCAATCTCGATTGGCAGTAAGACGATGACAGACAACCAGTTAAACATATCGTGGACTGTTGCCCCGGCAAACGCACGCCGAAACTCTCCCTTGTCCGAGATTTGACCAATGGCCACGATGGTGTTCGTCACTGAAGTTCCAATGTTGGCTCCCATAATGATTGGAATGGCGGTCTTGATTTTCAAAACTGTACAAAGATTAAATATATTATAATGCAAGGTTCGAATAAAGAAACAGAGATGCATAATATACACATGGTAAGGTTTATATATATATTAATAGGAAAGTGAAGACAGAAAAGCGTAAAGTGGGGATTAATTTTTTGTTATATAAGATTTCCGATGATTACCATCACAAAATATATTATTAGGAACACGTGGACGTACGCGGGCTTAAACGAATAAATTGATATTATGTGAATAATATCGTTTAGTACCGATACCAATTAGCATTCTGGGGAAAATTTCAGAGGATAATTCTGTATGCAGACTGGTTTAATATCATCGAAGAAAGCCGTGTGGAGAGAATGCACTGGATCTCCTGCCCCAGCCACTGACAACGATGAGGCCAACAATAATATTGGCTAGGGAACCCAAAAGCTTGAAATGGGGCAAGGGGGGGGGGGGTCAATGACTCTCTATCCTGTTCTGTTCTCTGTTCTGGAGCGGCTGACAACTTGGGAAGCTTAAACGGAATGTAAAATTTCCCTCACACTTAAGAGTGTAATTGAAAAGGAGAGCCGGGGGCGACTAGGAAGATTCCACACTGAAAAGTGATTTAAAAGTTCGAGTTCAACATCCATCTCCGATGGGACCAAACTTCATTCAACAACCTGTGCGACCCTACGGGTCTCCAACCAGATTTTTTACTTGGGATATAAATAGATTGACTTTGATGTGGGTACTGAAGAGAAGGAAGTAGCAGCTATGGCTATGTGCTATCTGCAATGATTCTAACCTTACAGAAAAATTAAATAGTCGAATAGTAAATAACTGAGAATTTGCTCATTGCGAGCGTAATAGGCCTTGCACTCTAGTGAAATAAGAATTATCAGAAATGACTTTTAATTTTCTTCCCAGACCTACAGTTCGCAAACTACTTCCAATTTTCAAAGATGTGCGTCAAAATTATTATTTCTTTTTAATAAAAGGAAGAAAGAAAAGGGTGTTGCTTGCGTGGGTGTTAAGGACAACAAATCTGTCGAAATTCAGGATCACTAGGCAAGACGTGGTTATCTTCCTTGTCCTACTGCATTCCAATAAAATTGGAGTTCCACGTATCATGTTTGAATGACTCAACTCACCCCAACGTACCATGGAAAGCGATGCGATTTGTATTCTAGATAGATAGAGAGAAAGATAGATAGATTGATAGATAGATAAGTAGATAGATAGATAACACAAACAAACAAATCTTGTTTAAGTTGGAAAGTTTCGAAAATTGTTAGACACATTCAGATTTGCCATTGAAATCTTGGTTGTCTTCCCTTGTTCAGATGGCTGTCTTATTGTACAGGTGGCCGTCTGGACAGATTCGTCTACATAATATTATATAATATGATACTGCTACTAATAATAATAATAATAATACTACTACTACTACTACTACTACTACTACTACTACT